GCAGGGAAAATTCTCCCTCTGTCTTTCTGAGCTGGGACACCCGTCTTCTTGCGCCCTCCGATATCGGAGCTCCCAGCAGGACTTCCACTAGTGGCACCTGGCGCTCAAACCTTTCACTTTGGGCTACATCACACCGCCGGCTGTTCCAGTTCCCCAGTTTGCAGAAGCAGACTGTGGGACTTGTCAGCCTCCGTGATCACGTGAGCCAGTTCCTGTAATAAATCTCTTTGTACGGGTACCTACATCCTACTGGGTTTGTTGACCTGGAGAATGCTAACAGAGGGCATGGAAGGAATCGGTTTTGCTTGCAATGAGATGTGAAGCATTGAAGGCTTTGAGTCAAGGAGACACAGGACTGGACTTTGGTTGTAAAAGATCCATTTGGATGCTGTGTAGGGGGCACACTGTGGAGGTTCGGGATGGAAGCTAAGAGTCTGATGGGGAAGCAAGGGCGGTAATCCAAACAATGGGGCTGGCATCCTGGTGGTGGGGAAGGGTCAGATTTGGGATCAATTCTGGTGGCAAAGCTGAGAGAATTTCTGGAAGGACTTCACCTGCGCTGTTAGAGATTGAGGTCAGAAAGACTCCAAGATTTTCATCTTGAGCAACTGGAAAAGTTCCAGTCACCATTTTCTGGGACAGTTGCAGAAGGAACAGATTTGGGTGGGCAAATCAGAATTACATGTATAAGTAGCAGTTGCTTCATATGCTTTCTGATCGCCTATGTTTCACCCAAACCCAGGGCAGGTCAAAGGGTTTCTGTAGCCAATACAGCTCTGGTGGCCCTTTCCCCTATGCAATCTAGTCATTTCCAGTAAATGCTGGATCCTAGGCTGGGACCCCCAGAAACCAGACTCTGAGATGCAGTGTAGCATGCAGAGGTTTATTAACAGGGATTTATGGGGTCAACAGCACAGAAGAAAGGGAAGAAAGCAGAGTGGGAGAGGGAGATGTCGAGCTGAGGCGCAGGATCGGTGGGCCTGTGGGGGGTTCTGAAACTGAGATGATCCTTCAGAACTGCCTGCGTGGAAGCAGAGCCTGGGCAGGAGGGCTGCTCCCTGTGGGAACACATTCTTTATTCCAGAAGGGGGATCTGGGTGGTGTATCCCAAGGTTCACCACATCCCCGCCCGCCAGACACAGGAGGGGGGCTGGTTTCATTAAGTTCGGCTCTTCTCTCGAACTACTAATTCATGGCTGGTCAGCAAACGCCAAATCCATCTGAGCTCACCGACTTTCCCACCAGAGGTGAGGTGGGAGAATATCTGGATAACGGAAACGAACACAGAGGGGGTTTGTGCTTGTCCTCCCTGGAGGAAGGACGCCGCATGGAGCCAAGGGCGGTGGGCGCGGAGGCTGGCCAGGCCCAGACGGCAGACTCAGCCCTGGTTCTGCCTCATAAATCACCCTCTCCTCCGGGTCAGCCGTCCGCACATAAAACTCTTAAGAGTTTAGGTGAGAACCGTGAGCTGAGCACAATTCCCACATTCTCCTTGTCCCCCTAATTCCCAGGGGGAAGCAAACAGTAAAGGAAATAATAATCATTATCATTGCGATTTCATAGATAAGATGTTAATAAAAAGAGACCGCTTGTTATTTTTAGTCACACATGAAACATTCAAAAATGTAACTCATGTACTAGGTCATAAAGGGAATCCAACAAATCCCATCAGAAGGAAGTCAAACAAGTTACCTTCCAACCAAAAGACAGTAAAATTACAAATTAATAACAAAGATTTAGCTAAAAATTGTATGCATTTGAAAATGTTAAGTACCTTTTAAGTAATTCTTAGGTTAACATGGAAAAATTAACATTACTATTTAAAAATGAATGACAAGGTAGACCAAAAATCTAAAGTATATACATACCTAACCCAGGAAAATTTAGTCTTAAAGTTCTTAGAAAAAAGTTGAAAACAAAGTAACTAAGCTTTTCAACTCAAGAAGTTAGAAAAACAAAATAACAATGGAATGTGAGAAAAGTAATAGAGATATAATATAAAAAATTAATGAGCTAGAAAACAAATAAACCAATATTGCTGATTAATAAAACTAAAAGCCAGTTTTTAGAAAACACCAATAAACTAGAATAGCCAACGGCAAAACCAAGAGATCAGGGGTCCAGTGGGAAAGAGCAACAGAAAAATGCAACATTAAGAAAGAGAAAGCATATTTTAAATTAAATAGAAAACATGTGCAAATTTATACCAAAGCATTTGAAAATCTGGATGAACTGGATACTTTTCTGGAAAATAATAAATCATGATAATTGGCTGAAAAAATCATAAAAGAGCAATAATCACCTAAGAAATTGAGAAAGTAATTAAAGTTCTATCAGCCTCCGGTTCACCAAGGTCAGAAAGTTTAGTCTCGAGTGTTCTACGAAACGTGCAGGAAACCCAGAATCCCATGCAGTACACCACTGCATGGGATAGAAGAGCACAGAAACTACCCAACTTGTGTTTATGTGGCTGGAATAACTCAATTCCAAAACTGGAAAAGGAAAACACAGACAAAAGTAAAAAATCATAAGTCAATATCATTGATAGGCAAAGACACGAAAATCCCAAAGAATTAGACATTCAAAACCAGTAATGCATTATAAGCAGAAATAATGTAAGAACGGTTCAACAGTAGAACACATTCCATGTTTTTGACTAGATTGACATCATCTCAACAAATCATCTCAACCGATGCCAAAATTTAATAAACGTTAGCACCCGTTCCTGCCTTAAAAACATAAAACTTCTACAGAAGTTCTTTGTACTACAGAACCCCAGCACACACCACAGTCTGTGGCACATTATCAGAAACAACCCATTACAGTCAGGGTCAAGGCCGACTGTCCGTAACTGGCTGTTTCCTTTAGATGCTGCACAGAGGGTTTGCCCATGGACAGGCAAAAGGAGAAAACGGCAACTGTGCCACTGAACAGAAAGAGACTAGAACGCTTAGTATTTGCAGTCACTGTCATCATCTACTTAGAAAGTCCACAGAAACCAAAAGGCCATTAGAATCAAACGTGACCTCATCCAGGTGACAGATATAAAATCAACATACAACATTAATAACTTCTTATGCCACAGCAGTCACTAATTAGAATATGCATTTTATAACCTCATTCACAGAAGGAAAAAATCTGAAAAGTACCTGACATATGAATGAGAACTATCAGCAAAAATAAATAAATAAATAAATAAATAAATAAAAATTTAAAAAAATATATATATTATATATATAAAGCTTTAGGACATGAAGAAAAATCTGAATAAACATAAAGCCTGTGACGCTGCCCGGCGGAAAGGAGCTTAAACAGCCAGCTGTCTGTTCAGGGCCTTCATCTCTAGGCGAGGACCACACTCAAGACAGCAAAGGCCAACCCCAAAAGCCCCACTTCTGAGCCAAGACCGAGGACGCCACCCACCGTGGGGAACATAAGAAGATGTCTTCTCAGGAAGCCAAGATGAGGGCCTGCACCAGAAAGAGAACGGAGCAGAAAGAACGGCTGGGAGACACAGCAAGAAAAAGTTGCAGACTTGATAAACTGCATGTCGTGGGCGCTGACCAAGGTGAGACCCAAGGGTGGGAGTGGGGAAGGTCTCTCTCCCCACACACCCTAAAAGCCTCCGTGGCAAAACAGATGGTACAGCACGTTTTTAAACCACTTTTTAACACAGTTACTTTTTTTTTTTGGTCTTCTTGCTCTTTATCCCTTGAGTTAAAAGCCCCACCAGCTGTCACTGTCTGAAGAAAATGTCAGGGCTTGTGGCTGCCTGTGCATCTCCTCAGCTCAGGGCCCCCGGGGAGTCGGGGGTGGGGAGCAGCGTAGCTCCTGGGGACCTTGGCCAGCTGTGATCCGGCTGCAGAACTGGTGAAAAGGCTGAAGGGTGGGCCCCTCACCAAAATGAGCCCCCCGCAGAGGTTCCCAGACAATCCTTCACCACGCCAGCCCTTCCAAGTATTAAATGTGTGCACGTCCCAAAGCACTTCCCTTCCCCCACACCCCTGTGAGGTCAGCACCATTCTTCCCACTTCGTAGAGACAGCAGTGAGGAAGCCTGGCTTCCAGCCTTGCCATCTACAAGCTGTGTGTCCTCAGAAGAGTTCCTTTCCCTCTCTGGACCTTATCTTCTCCAACTACACAATGAAGATCACCAAAGGTCCTCCAAAGTCCTTCCAGTTCTAAGGCACTGGATGTCATCTAGTGTCAGGAATCCCTCTCTGAGCGACAGTTCCCACAACGGTCGACTCCTTCCTACCTCCCCAGGGAGAGCCCGCTTACACATGGGGAGAGCAGAAACTGGGAGCTGCAGGGAGCTACCAAACTAGGTCCCGTTCCCTTGGTGGCCCCCCCACCCCCCACCCTCGTTCTCCAAACACCAATCAGTAACCTCTTTAAATGGCAGCCCAGGAGGGCAGTTGGTTTCTCGTGGAATCAAAAAAAGAAAAACCTTGATGAGTAATTTGCTAAAACCAACCTCCCCCCAACCTTTTAAAATCACACATTTAAACTCATTTAGAGAACTCTGAAGATGCATTTAAATTTTCTTTCCTCCTTGTTTAACTATGTAATTGTTTTCACTCACAGTAATCTTCTCTCAGAGGCGTATGCTTGACTTATTTAATAAATCTTTCTCCACATTTGAAATCATCCTTTAGCAAATAAGGAGCTTGACACTCCATTACCCACAGTAAATTTTACTGCCATGAAATCACCACATGCCACATGGAGAGAAGAAGACGCCAGGATGGCCTCCGGGAGCCCAGCCTGCCTCTGGAGTCCTAATTCCTGGGTCCTCCTGGGAGTCGAGGTGTCAATCTAGCCCATCGAGGGGCTGACCCAGGGATAGAGAGCTGGGTGGGTAAATTTACACCGGCCCTATGGCTCATCTTTGTCATTCCAGTGGGTCTGGGGTTGGGTTTCGGCAGTAGTTGCCGGTGGCTAGATCCCACCATGGGGTCAAAGCAGGGAGCAGGCGGAGAGAACAGAGACCACACCCACCTTTGCTGCTGACACAAGGCCTCCCTGGCCTTGGCACAGAGGCCGAGTCCCCTTGAGCACTGCGTACGTGGCACAGATGATAAAGAGAGGACTAATGTGTTTACCGCTCTCCTCCACCGCTGCCAGCTGGCTGCATTCTCAGGGGGCACTGAAGCTGAGCTTACAAGCTGATGGCGCCGCTCCTCATCGCCAACAGGCGGGTCTGGCATGGAGAGAAAGAACAGAATCACGGGTGGGGGGAACCTTGGAGACAGGGCCGAAAGGGGTCTCAGAGGCCGTTGATTCAAGCTTTGCTGTGTTGGCTTCTGCACTAAGGCAGATAAGTGAGTGAGACAGTGAGTGAGACAGAGAGAGAGAGAGAGCTCTGCATGGAACCCAGGTGGCCACCAGTCCAATGGGAGCTCTCTGTGCAGCCCAGACACGTATGGGTATAAAGTGATATGGCTCCGCATGGCCAGTGGCACCCAGGAAGTGCTCAATGCCCTGGAATGACAGCACCCTGCAGGGGATGGCCCTTTAGGAAACTGCATCTCAATGGTGTCAGTGCTGCTGGTTTGGGGCCCACACTTTAAGCAGCAAGAGTCCTCCCTGCGGACACGCATCAGACTAGTATTGAGCACCCACTGTGGACAGGGAGCAAGTTCGCACCAGGTGCTGGAGACATGAATCTGAAAATGACATGGTCCCCAGCCTGAGGAGACTGGGCAGAGTTGACTTCAAGGGCAGCTCTCTTTCATAAATCCCAATGGTCCTTAGGGGCAGAGAGATGTCTCGTCCCCTGTAGAATGTTCTCTTTTTTGACTTAACTGTTATTGTTGACACTGTTGCAGATGTACCATTTCCCCCCACATACCCCTTTGCCCACCTGCCCCCAGGCCCCCATCAAGACCTTCTTGAATCCAGTTACTTTGCTCCTGCCTCGCGCTCAGTGCACAGTGGAACAGAAGACCAGTTCACCACACTTTCAATTACCAGCAAGTCTGTGGCTTTTACGTGACCTTCTCTTCTTCTAAAGGAGTATAGGGAGTGGGAAGTCATTGATTCTCTCTGCCCAACCCAGGGAAGAGGTGAACATCAAAAACTATAGGAAGGAAACTGGCAGAACAGGGAAGGGAAATGCTTTTATACCTTCGCACAAAACGATATCCATCAAACACCTATAACTACGTCTATGCATCGAGCCACTAGCCTACAGGATGCCTTCAGGAGCTTGCAAGGCTGAGGCTCCCACTCCTGACTTGCTCCCGGAGGTCTTTTCTCCATGTAGCCACCAGAGAATCTACTCAAAACCCTCTGACAGCTTCTCCTCTTGCTCACAATAAGACCCTCTGGTCAGCCACGCACCTTCTCTCTCCCCTCCCCTCGTCCTGCCTCTGCCTTTGCATGAGTGCTTTTCCCTGCCCAAATTTCCCTCTTTTCAAAAGAACACCAGTCGTGGGGGTGGGGAACACCAGTCGTGGGGGTGGGGCCCACCCTAATCCAGTAGGACCTTGCCTTCATTTAACTAATTACATCTGCAAAGACTATTTCCAAATAAGGTCACATTCTGAGGATCCTGGAGGGCATGAAGTTTTAGGGGACACTATTCAACTTAGCACAGCCTCCGACGACTCCAGTGGCAGAAAAGAACAGAAATGTGTTCTCTCATATCTTCAGAGCCTGGAAGTCCAAAACCAAGGGGCTGGCAGGGCTGTGTTCCCTCTGAAGGGTCCTCATGCAGGGGCATGGCTGCACCCCATGGCCTAGGCTGTCCACCTCGGAAATGTCTGCTGTCCTTTCTCTGACCTCTTCTGCCACTAACAGAGGGGAGTGCTGGCTTTCAGGGAGTGTCGTGCCTCTTTAACACGCACATGCACACACACACCAAAGTTAGGGAGAGCCAGACAATCCGATGGTTCCCTGAGGCTCAGGGGGAGGACCTGCCCTGTTCCTGGCCATCTTTATGAGGCAGAGAGCCTATAACACCCCTGCCTCCCAGAGCGACCACAAGCGTGTGGATACGCCTGAAGTCAGGTGAACTTGGAGGGCGACCCTGAGGCAAGCACCTCTGCTTCCCACCTCCCTGGGTGTTCCAGCCACACCCGCGAGGGAGTCCTAGCCCCTCCCCACAGGCACATGGCTTTGTTCTTGCTGATCTCCAAAAGCAATGCAGTAAGCCTCAGACACACTGCGTGTGTGTGCAGAAGATGGGGATCATTTCCTTACAGTCTCCCATGGGGCGGGGCGTCCAGGGGCAGGGTGAAGGTGGAGCAGAGAAAGAGGCGAGTGAGCAGAAGTGGAACCGAGCACTTCTGGTAGCCAGTGGAATGCTGTTCTGCTGGTTCCCTGTGAGGAACCCAAATCGCCTCTTCACTGAGGAATGAACAGACCTTGAAAAGGCCGCTAATGTAAGATAATGGCTCCTACAAAATGCAGCCTATCAAAGGGACCATAAAGGAAAGTGGGGTTAATGGTTAATGGTTATGCTGCTGAGAATCTAGGGAACAGCTCTCAACACACTTAATGCAAAGAGAACCTCCCGGGTGCTACCACTAGCCGGTCCCCTTGCCTCTCCAAACGCCCCAATAAACTGGCAGGAATCACTCTCCCCATTTCATAGGTAGGAAGGAACATGGGTCCTTGGAGATCTTAAGATGAACTAGCAGGAAATGGTTCCTTCAAATGCAACCAAACGGCTCCTTCCGTTTACAGATGAGGAAATGAGATCCAGAAACAGTGATGCACTGGACCAAGGTCATACAGCCGGTGAGATGCCCAGTCGGAATTCAAACCCAAGTGTGGCTGCAAGTCCAGGGCTCTTTCCACAATGACACATGCTGACGTGGTGTGTGGCTCACCCAGGTTCCCATGGTTAGTGGATATGAAAATGGAGACTTCCACCAAGGACTTCCAACTCCCGATCCAGCCTCGTTTCAAAGGGAATTTTCACCCACTCGCCAGCTCCATATCCCCCTCATGCTTCACCCTTAGAGATTGCTCCAAGGGGCTCAGAGCTGCTGGGTCCACGTGGGACAGGAGGCCCTGTGAGAGAGCACTGCTCACTGGAAGGACAAGTCCTAATCTTCACTATGCGACCAGACTGTGTTAACAAACTGGGCCAGAGCATTCGTTAGTTTGCGTCAACTCCGACACCGAATAGAAGGGGGAAAGTGGGACACTTTGGAACTGCCTCTCCTCTGTGCCAACAAACTGCCACTATTTTAACTTCATTTGTGCGGTACAAATGAGAAGGAGATAAATGCCGTGTTCCAGCCAGAGTCTATTAGTGGGTACCAAGGGCAACATGGGAAGATTGTGCAACCTGGCCATGTTGGAAAAGGGGGAAGAGCTACACCCAAGGTCTTGGGTCTATAATCCCTCTGCCTGGGAATCATGACGCAAGATAAGTACACACTCGGTGAATGACACACCTACATCCAGCTGCCTATAATTTTTTAAAAGTTATATACAAATTCTAGCTGAGTAATCTTGGATAGGCTGGTGAACTCCTTTGAGCCTTATTTTTCTCATCTGTAAAACTGAGATACTCTCTGGCCTGCCTACGCTGTTTTTGTATGAGAATTAAATCAGAAAATGGATAGGTAATTGCAACTGCTTCACAGATATAATTAATTATGCATTGTATGTAATACACACACAAAATAACTTTGCACCTAAGTAATTTGGATGCATGTTATAAGTGGGCAATTCAAAATAAAATATATTGCCTTCTCACATCTCTGATGTAACTAATCCCATGAGATCCAACAGAAGAAATGTTTAAATTATTCTTTTGTTTTAATACATTTTCATCAAAGTATAGCATGTCATACAGAAAGTACTTGATGAATTTTTCCAAAGTGAACATGCTTGTACCACTAGCGCCCACATCAATAATTAACATAACATCGGCCCCTAAGAAGCCCCCCTTACTCACTCCCTCTCGCTATCACCCCCTCTTCCAAAAGTAACCATTACCCTGACTTCCAATGTTATTGACCAAATTGACTGTGTTTGAACTTTGATCAATAGAATCATATAGTACACACTCTTTTGGGACTGGCTTCTTTCAATACCATGTCAGTAGAATTCATTCCCACTGATTCTCCTAAGTTTTACTTAAAAATTATTATTATATTTTTTAGATTTTATTTATTTAGAGAGGAAGGGAAAGAAAGAAGGAGAGAAATATCAATGTATGGTTGCCTTTTGTGAGTCCCCTGCTGGGAACTGGCCTGCAACCCAGACATGTGCCCTGACTGGGAATCAAACCACGATCATGTGGTTTGCAGGCCCGTGCTCAATGCACTGACCTACACCAGCCAGGGTCTAAAAATTATTTCTTACTACATAATTCTTTACCATCAGTAATAATGGAGTAATTACATTTTCTCTTCCTCTCCCCTATCATTTTTTTTTTTAGTTTTCCCACATAGCTCAGAGATGAGGCTACCATTGAAAATCAATAAACATTGAATGTTATTCTTTTCTAAAAACAAAATGTACAAGGAAATGGAGAGTGTGGGGTGGAAAGGGGCAAAGGGGGAAAAATTGGGACAACTGTAATAGCATAATAAAATATAACTTTTTAAAAAGTCATTATTCTCTCTCCTCTTCTGAATATCCCAAGCTCCTTTGTCTAGAACCAGCCACCAGCCCTGTTTGCAAACATCCTCCCTGGACCTGAAAACAGTGACCATAACACCTCAGAGGGAAAGAGTCACCGTGTCCGTATAGGGCCACCTGTCACACCCAGATTCTCGTCTCAAGCCCAACTCTGGATTTCTCTACCGCCCAGTCTCTGGGTGTGGCCTAAAACCAGTGCTCGGAGGGAGAAGTCAGGACTGGGCCACTAGTAAGAAGCTGTTCCAGGGGTCTGGTCCTCATCAAATGCAAAGGCTGTAAGATCCTTAGACTACAGACACAATCATGAAACAGAAGGAAGTTTTAGAGACACACCTAATTATCAGAACGAGGCCAAATGTCTCTATGACCTACTACTATACCTGCCTTTCCTAGAACTAGGGTGACATAGGTTTTGGTAAACAGGTTTGCTTTATGCCTGTTGAGTCAAAGCATTTCAGTTTGGATAACAAATTATAATAGAGTCACCCCACCTATAACCACATATGTGTGATGGACAAAGGTGCCTGAGAGCCATGACCTTCATTATCGTCACAGCCAAAAGGCATTAACCTTGCCCCACCATTGATCAGCTAGTTG